TTGCATTTTGGACTTGTAATGGTCTGCCACCATGTTCATCACCTCTAACATTTTCCTTTACCCATGCTGCTAACTCTGAAGACTCAAACACACAAGCCATTTCAGGACACCTTTGCTTTATCTTATTTCAAATAGGGATATAATTTATTTTAGAGACAGACAAGTATATCTGGGGTTGAGGGTAGGTTGAAATTCTGAATTTATGATTAGCTGTGACAACAGTAGGAACATGTGTTGGATTCATAATCCATTTACTGGCTAAATTTAGGTAATCTGGTTTTCACAGCAGGCACATCCCTGCTATCAATGGTCAGCAAAAAAGGGCAGACACTAGAAGTGCAATTCAACCACATACACTTGGACTGAGATCACAGTTTTCAGGGTACTGACTTCACTGAAACCATGCAAACACAGGTGCTAGTGTGTGTCCTGTCATTCCCAAAACCTCTGTCTGCAATACCCCGTTGAGCTGTGGAGAAAATATAACTTGGTTTGATTTTTTTTTTGGTTCAATCATAGCCTTGTTTTGGACATGACCCTCTACTTCCTTGCAATAAAGAGGAGTAGGGACAAGAATTAAATTCAGTTATCTCCAAGTGCTCTGGAACAAGGGCAGACGGGCTTTTTGCTTGAGACAGTGGGTTAGAAATGAGTCGATTCAGGTCTACTCCTCGATTTACTGAAGAATTCATGTAGCAGCAGGCAAGCCACAACTCTCCTATTTCAGTTTTAGATCAGGAGCAAGGGATAAGAACGTTATTTTTCCTCACGGAAATGTTTAACAACATAACAGCTAATGGCCCTATGAAGCTCACATATGCTAGGAACACGGATCAGAGAAATTCCTGTGTTGCTGAATGCGACTAAGCAGACATCGTTCATAGAGGTGGAAAAAGTTAAGGGAAATCACTCAGCAAAAACTGTATTGAGGGGAAAATAAAAAGTAAAAATTAATAAAAACTAGGGATAAGAAACTGTACAAATAGTACAACTCTTTAGAAAGGGCAGACTTGCAGCAAACACATCTGACTGCAAGCTCCATGAAGGAAATTGCCACAAAGCGAAATCAACGTGGAAGAAAATCTTTAAGCACTAAAACTGGAGCTCTAAAGTGAACAAATCCAGAAACAAATCACACCATAAACCTTAAAATGCAAGCAATTTACACCCCATAGCAAATAAGAAATTACGAACACGCAGTACATCTGTCAACTCCCTTGCAGTTCTGTGCAGCAGCCAGTGACTAGCTGCACTCTCTGCGTTTCTTCAATTAGCGTTTTAAAATCTTTAACAAAACCAGATTTCTCCTGAAACTCCTCCGAGCAGCCTGGCCCTCTTTCAGGCTCCCAGCGCGGCTCGGCGCGTGCTGGAGCTGGAGGGACACGACCCGCGGCAGCTCCGCGCTCTCCTTCCCCGAAATGGCAGCGGCCGGAGAGGCGAGCGAGGCTCCCGGGCCGGAAATAGCGTGAGAATCGGCTCCCGCACGCTGCCTCCAGCCCTTCCTGAGCGCGGGGTGTGAAACGGGCGGCAAACGCCGTCTCTCGCATTATTTCCTTTTCCCCCCGCCGGCCAATACCAGGAAGTGTCAGCTACGAGATATGCAGAGAAAGCACAGAGGGAAAAAAAAAAAAAAAAAAAAAAAAGGAGGGAAAAAAGAAAAAAAAAAGGAGAAAGGAAAAGAAGAAGAAAAGCTAATTCCTGACCAAGGAACCCAATTTGACCACGGATAATTACAGCAAAATTACAATTGCCAATTACAGCAAAAATCCATATATTTGTGGGCACAGCCTGATATTTAGCCACACAGGAAAAGCACTGGGCAGCTCACGCACCCCAGCCTTGCACGTGCCTTGCTACAGGGCTGACCCAAAGACTCTGGAAATCAGAGCAATCACCTGCCGGGCAACCCCAGGCCGTGGCCGAGGCTGCCCGGGACTGTGAGGAGGCCCCGCCATCTTGTGCCACACTCGGCACATTTGCAAAAGAGAGATCCTGCTTAGTCCAACTGCCCAGCCGGGTCTTTGTGAGGCCTGAAGCATACAGACCCTCAAGCAAAGATCATTCATCATCACTTGGGGGGTTTCTGTATTCTAGCCAATTCTGGGTGCTTCTATTTAATAGTAGCCAAAAGCCGTCTCACACAGCAGCTTCCATAAAAATATCCACCCTCTCCATCGAGCATGGGAGCGACAAGAGCAATGAAACCTGGTCTCCTCTTAACATCTTGCTCCCTCCTCGCAGCTACAATCACAGCGCAGCCAACGCCAGCCTCCCCGATCCTGCTCTCCCGAAAGCAGAATTGAAACCAGTCACTCAGCAGGCCCGGTGGAGCGAAGGGAAGCGACGCGGCCTCCTCTCCTTTCGCTGCCTCTCCCGCCTGTAAAACCCCCCCGGGCAGGAAGCGCAGGGCAAGGACAAGCAGAGCCAGAGCTGCTCCTCAGGCCGAGCTCCTCCGAAGGGACAATTCCCCACAGTGGGAGCCTGGGGGTGAAGGACAGGCTACTCGAAGGGCTTTCCAGTAGCTGGAGTTACTGGCCAAGCCTCCCACTCTGCCTCGCCAATCCAACAGAAAGTTGAGATGGGACCAGTCTGGGGCTTCTGGTGAAGCCTTTTCTGAACCAGCTCCTCCAGGAATTGCAGAGGGATGGTGGGAGGCGGAAATGCACTAGTCAGCACGAAGCCTTGCAGTATTTAAAGGTGCTGTTCAGGAATGGGTGAAAATTACCCTTGCTGGATTTTCTCAATCCCAGTTATGGCAGTGTACCACATCAGGCTGAGAATTTATATGCAATCCCACTTCCCTGGGAAGGGTCAAACAGCAAGACAAAGGGACCTGTTTTGGTCAGAACTCATCCAGGAGAGACCTTGACTGGACAAGAATACCTTCTGTCCTAGCCCAGGCTTCACAAGGTGCAAAGCCTCCGTTCACCAGTGACTTTCTTTCAAAGAGGCTTCAACATCCTGAAGCTACACCGTGCTTTAAAAGTACTGACTTTGAAAGAACCTCTAGTGGACTCTTCAAGTCCCCTCCAGAAGTCCCATATGTATCTGATTTGGGTTGTGCACAATCTAATTTGGGTTGTGCACAAGCAGAAATGCTTTGGTTTTGCTAATGACATTTCTGAAAGTCCCTGGAAAATAAACATTCTTGACTGTGCCCTAGTAAAACAAACAAACAAACAAACAGGTACAATTGATTTGAAGCATCTGTCGCAACCTGTGTTATACTTTGCAAAGGTTCCTATATATAACTATAGTTATATACACTTGAAAATTCTGGAGTGATAACGATGAGCACAAAATTCCAAAGTGATATTAACTTCCAAGCAAATATTTCATCATTAAAAATCCTCTCCATTTCCACAGTCTAATCTCAAAGACAACCCCAGTGCACTACCCCAACCCTCGGAAAGGACAAGAACCAACAATTCCAAAGCTTCTTCCATTAGAAACCAATGCTGTATCTCTTACATCCCATTTGAATAAATGCTAAAATTGCAAAAATTTTTTTACCAAAGACACAAAAATGATATCTTAGAAGAATTTCTTTAATTTGTTGGCAACATATTTTTTATTTTTAGTCTCACAGGCCATGATATAGAAGGGAGTGTTCCGCTAGATGGAGCAGGGTGGTAAAACCACCCTAAAGGCCATCCCGCCACTCACATCCAGCAGACAGGGATGATAGTAATTTTTAGCTCTCTTCTGTACATTCACAGCAAAACTGTTTTTTCCTCATTCTATTAATTTTCTCGCTACACGAAGGAAACTACAAAGATAGAATTTATTGGGAAGTCAACACAAAATAGACAAGAATTTTGGATAGTTTTTACTTTGCAGCAGCTGAACTTACTGAAATATCTACACCAAACGGTCAAACATTAGTCACCTAATGGAAGAGGCTTTGCTACAAATAAAACAAACGAACACTAAAAACAATGGCTTAACTTCGAACACTAAAAACAATGGCTTAACTTCAAAGAGCCTTCCAGAGACCTGGAGCTGTGCAAGTCATAGTAAAATTATCTTCCTGGCCTCTTTTCAAGCAGAGCTAATTGCTGATTTTCCTTCAAGTCTACCTAAACCAAAAAAAAGAACCTTACGAATTTTATTTCGTCTCAAGTGCTTTCATTTCAAGAGACTCAGTAGCAGATACAAATTCCACTCCTCCCTCAACACATGAAAGAAGCCTGCATTTCCCTGACTGTTAAAACTTCTTTCAGCTTCTCCAGAAGAAGCAGACTATAAATTAATAAAGAGCTGGTTTAGCTACATTAATATTCCACATTTAAATCTTGCAATTCTTGAGTATGCATAGTGAATACACAGGGAATCATCGCAATTATCATCAACACATTGCAATAATAAAATTCTGAACTATACTGTATTATTTCGCATGATAAATAACTGCAAACATGCAGCAGTCTCTCTCATGACAATACTAATTATCACAGTAGCATAAATAGCAGACGGGAATGAATCACACTCTGCTATGTGAGTAAAGGCACACAAGCAGAAGTCCTGGTGACTGATCACAGGTTTCTGGTTGCTGCCATCTCTTTGTTTTCAGATAAATAAACTGTGCTAAAAGCAAAAGCTACAAACACAGACCAGTTTCACGTTAACATACTTTCCCACCTATTAACATTTGCTGCAGTATCTGAGGTTTACTGTCATTTGCAAAGGGATTGTTCAAAGGGGAAGAAAACCTGGACTTTGAAAGACTCAAGTTGTCCATTTTATTAAGTTCACCATCCGTGTTAAGACCATTTGAAAGCATCCAAAAGGTTTGCAATATAAACATTACTAGGTGTCTAGGTGAAAGCCAGTTTTTGCTAATTCTCTGAACGGGTCATTAACAGAAATTTAGACTATAGCATACAATCCTTTCCTTCAAAGGTACAACAGAAGCCAGCACGAGGCAATCCAAAGCACTCGGTTGTTATTATCATTCAGCACAAGATCTGCACGCAGCAAAGCAGAACAGAAACCATACTTACTACTGCGCACAGTCAATCAACTGGTACTCGTTAGACCTCTCGTAGCAGGCTTTCACTCCTTCGTCTTGCCAAAGTGTTTTTGTATGTTCATAAAACTCCTGAAAGAGTAAAAATATAATCAGCAAAAAAGGTTATGCAAGAAGAAAACTGGCACAAGGTGACATATTGTTACCACTGGAATAGATGATAACCTTTCATTACTGACAATTCTGTGGGTATTTTCATAAACAATCCTGTCTGGCAATGTTTCCTCTTTCATTCATAATTCCACTGGACATTAAGTTCATTTACCTGTCAAAATCTCTTCTTTTTTAGAAGCAAATACAATAAACTATTTATTATTTTATCCGTAAGATATTGAGGCTCAGTACCTAATAAATTTAGGACTGTAGAGTGTCAAAACACACAAAGTAACCATAGAAGATAACTCTCTCTACAACCTGTAAAACTAAAAAAAACTAAACAAAAGATTCAGGTCAAGATTTTCAGAAGTTTTCCAGAACTACATATGTAAAAATTTCTTAATAAACTCCCAAGAATCAAAATACTTTTTAAAGAAGAATGGAATGGTGGTTTCTAGCCACTAACACGCTTTGGAAAAAAAAATTACCTCTACAGAAAGTCATTAAATTGATTAACAATTACAGGTCATTTTTAATTTTTTTATCTGTTAAGTATCTACAAATTGGAGTTCAAGGATTCCTCTCTGGGAAAACACTTTAAAAGATGTGGGCAGGAATCAAACAGAAGATGCCATGAAGGTGCAAGAAAACGGCAACAACACACACCTCTATGTTCATGTTTTGTTCCATCATGACTTCTTCTCAGCATGACAGAGAGACATGACAGATGTTCAGAAACGTGTGACAAGGATATTAGAAGCAAAGGTGACTGCCTGTACTTGATTATTGTCTTGATTAAAACCTTGCACTTCCCTTATCTGAGAACAATATAATATATCCATGATTGGTAAGTTAATTTTCACAAAAAGACACCCACCATTTCTCCAATGTTTTGTTTTTCTTTATGTGCTGAAAGCTTATTTTCCAAAAATTAAAATAATACCAAGGTGCACTTGATCTGTGTCTCAGCAAAATCTAGCCTATTCTGAAGTCTGCAAAATCAGCCTGTTTTCTTTTCTCCAAACTGCATATGATATATTGCTCCAATTTGTAGCCCTGAAAATGTCAGAAATCCACTTACAAACTAAAAAAAAAAAATTCAGTCCTTAATTTTAAAATACAGTTTATTTGTGGCAAGCTGTATAGGGAACTGATGAGTATATTTCACTTGTTCAGCATTTTCCAGGTGGGGATCTCTAAGGATAATGTGGTAACAGGATCATACTAAATTCAGACATCTGTGTCGTACATAACCTCAAGAGTTCACAGAATTCTCTCTCTTACAGCACACTAACTTCAGAAGAAATGCATTGATATGAAGCTAGATGGTGTTTTGATTACGCCAACCTTAAATGCTGCAAGCCAAGATAGGAAAACGGATAATCTACAATACTTCAGTTTTATTGAACTTATAAGATCTGTATAAAAATATAAGACAGCCATTATTTTCAGCATATGAAAGAGACACTTTGACTCCAACACCGGTGCATGTCATACACATATTTTTGGCAATGAATCTAAAATCTTTTGAGTAAACTTAGCAAGAAGAACGGGAGCTTAGTAACTAAAGACCAATTCACAGACCACTGTGTGCACTGCTTTTATCAGTGACCATGGACTTTTCCTGGCTGTATCTCAAAGCTTTGCAAGAGTTCTGGACTAAATGCTCCTGTTCTGACTATTAACAGGCTCAGGTACCATATTCCAAAACTGACCTTTTTGTATGCAGGCCACCATATGATCTTTGAACTAGCTGTAATACATTTTTTTTTGTTTTGCTTTGTTTTTTTAAAAAGATGTTTATTTTACTGAAAAAATGCATTATTTTAAATAGCTGTATTACTGCTTCAAGGTCCCTCCAGTGACGTGGCTTAGGAAGCAGCTTCTCTCTTGTGATATCAATGTCTCACATTCTTTTACTATCAGTGTGGTAAAAAGAAAAGGGTCACATGGAAATGTGACTTCCAAAGTTTCACTTGAGAATTTCTTAAAAATAAAATAAAATAATACAGCATACTTTAAATGCCATCTTTAAAATACCTAATGGTATCTTAAAATAGATTTATTGGATTCTCAAATCTCTACCTCTCCTTACAGGGGCAAGATGCACATGGAATTAAGTGAACAATTGGGAATATTAAAAGATAGAAACATCTGAAGAAGAAGTGCAAATTTGATCTCACCTTTACTGCTGTTGAATAGCTGTGCATACGCACAAACATACGTAACTATTCATGTCTATAAGTACCCTTGAGTGGAATATCCCTTGTCCCTTAAGGAAGGTTTAGATATAGTATTAGCTATATCGTATCATTATTTTCTTTTTGTGTTAAGTATCAAGAGCTTATATGACCATTTACTGTTAAAAAACAAAAGATAAACCAAAATCTACTGCACTTTCTATCTGCCACTGCTGCAGTCACACTCATTTGATGCTTTTATTTCTAAATTCTCCTATATTTCCCCTTGAACTGGAAGATCAGTCAGTTACTTTCAGTTTTCAACTACTGCACAAGATAGTGAGAAAAACATCTTTCCTAAATAAAAAGAAGTAGAAACAAAGAAAGTAAGGAACAGGGACAGATTTCTCTGGAATCTCCCCATATCTGAACCAACCCCATCTTTGGCTTCATTTAGTTATTCAAAAAAGTAGCAGGAGTCTACTAATATAGAACATCTTATGACTCACTCGAGTTATTACTACAAAGCTGGGAAGGTTTTTTTTAGTTGAAAAAAAGAAACAAAATTGGCAATAATATGAGAAACCTCTGTTGAAACAAGAACAAAAAATGAATGGACATAAACCATCCAAATTTCCCATCCGAAGAAGACAAGTTGCACCAGATCTTGGAGAGTTACTTGAAAAATTTGTCTAAAATTGACAGCTACCTCAAAGGGGGCCAGCATCTGCCAAGCCAATTATGCCAAAATACATGCCCAAATTACCCTCATCTCCACTCATACCTGTAGGTAGAGCAATAACTAAAAGATAAGCTTATAAACAATGCAGTAATCCATACAAATTATTCATCAGCTACAAACATGTTTTAAGCAAAAAGAAATAGTGGCTTAATGAAAAATGCCCCAGTATAGTAAAATTCCGTATTCTGGGCTCTACCCAGAGTATGAAGTTTCAACCAATACTTATGGATTCCTTTCCTATACAGTCTCTCTCCTCGTCTCCTCGTTTTTTCCCACCTCTCCTTAAACTCCTCATCCCCACAGCTGGTTACCCTAAAGAGGCCATGTGAAAAGAGAAAAAAAAAAAAAAAAAAGGCAGAACTGTCATTAATTTACTGGGCTATTTGCATTTTACTAAACGTGCATTTGATCATTTCCCTGGCTTTTTCGGTATATGATATTTTAAGATGCAAGAGTAACCAAGTGTTCTCTTTATTTAGAGGTTGCTCACCAAACAGTTTATTTTGGAGCTTAGAGGCCTTTTTTTTTTTTCCCTCTCTCATTTGCAGACAAGCTGCTCCCTTGCGCCGGCCTTCAGCGCGATCTCTACTCCAACATCCGTTTTATGTTTCCTTTATGGATGGCCATGGCCAGCTTGGCCTTGTTTATTAAATCTAGACTTTCCCACCTTATAAAATTAGTTTTTTAGTATTACTGTATCTACCCAGGCTTACATTAATTAAAAGACATGGAGACAATGCAGAAAAGATCAACCTTTACACCAAAGAGGCTGAAATGTCTTGACAATCAAGCACCCTTTCCTTCAAGGCCCATCCATCCGTGGAAGATGGATCTCCAAACAGCACCGAAATCAGAAGCTTCACCCGCAACTCCTTCCTACTATAACTACGATGTTCTGGTATAGAACTGGAATGAAACAATTATTTCAAACAACTCATCAACTCTACCATACCTAGCAGAAAAAACATTTCCAAGGAGGCTCTTTAAAAGGAAGAAAAGTGAATGCAGCTCCTGGTCCTAGCAAACACACTGCCAATACCCAGCCCAGCTGCAAACCCTTCAGAAGAGCCCTCCCCACACTGCAGCCCAGACCTGAAAATCCAAGGTAACATCTATTCCTTTACCATAATGCATGGATCCATGTTTCTGCCCTGTTAATAAAATATTTCATACTGCAAATCAGACTTGTGTTTCATCTGTCCTGCTAATCTAACGGTACCAGCAATATTTAGGCAACATTTTTAGTATGATTATTAACTGTCCATGTGAGCTGGAAAAAAATTAAAGTCCATATTCTTTGAACTTTCTATTAGCATTTCAAGATCAGGATATACAGCAAGTCATAGATTACCACATAAAAAAGCAGTATTTTTTTTTAAGCCTCAACAACCTGACTTATCACAGCCAAACACAAACATCCTTTCCTAAGGAATCGTTTGACTGCTATAAAGGCGTTCACCAGTAAAAAGCTGCTGAAATGTAAACCAGGCTTACAGAGCTCCACTCTAGCTTTTACAGAAGACTCCTTATGCTAAAGTGACCGATTTTGGAATTAAGACACACTAGCTAGTTGCTAAAAGCAGATTTTAATCTCACACACATATACAAAATTAAATTTGCAAAAAATCAAGACCCTGCAATAATATTTAGGAATAACAGTAGCAACAACAAAAAAAAGAAATTCTCAACATCTTCCTTAAGGCATGAAGTAGAGCCCAGAGCACTACTAAGGAAGGCCAGGATAAAACACAAGCTTCGTTATATATCTAGGTGAAAAACTGGCTTCAGAGGACACCAGAAAAATGAAGACATTTGGAGGCTTTTTTAAAATAAAGTAGTTCTAATTTGTGAAAGATCTTTAAAAACAACGAGTTGGTCAACACACTAACTGGAAGTAGCAAGGAAGTTTCCTGGAAAGAAATAGCCAGAAAACTAGTCCTTACATGTCTGGTTTTTGTTTCCATAACACTGATTCATTTGTTGGCGTGTTTTCCTGTAACATACTCTGCAGCAGCATCACAGGTTTCCCTTGCGCTGCATAATGGAATTCTTAA